CATGATCCTTACTATGTATCCTGAGTATATGCATGCTAGCACATCTATTTGAGTGCCTGCAATGTCTATAATACGTCTAATAAAGTATCCTGAGTCTATTCTAATGAATCCTAACTGTCTGAAGGTGTATTTCACAATGTAATACCTTATGTTCTCCTGAAACTGTGTTCTGTACAATATATCCTTGTAGTCTGAGCTGGTTCTAACGTTTCTGAATAATTCTTCGTCATGAACTGAATAGTTCTGTAGTGTAACATCCAATTGTACCTTATAGAATGTTGTTCTATGTGAATTCCTTCAATTGTACTCATTATAGACTGTTTCTTCAATCCTGAAGATGGAAATGTGTGTTCTGATGTCAACTGACATAGTTCCTTTGTAGTACTCAATACTAATCTTGTATCTCTTCCTGTACTGAATAGAATCGACTGTGTATGTGTATGTCTGTGTCTTTCTATCACTGTCAATGTATCTCCATGCCTGATACTTATTCTGAAGCAGTATCATTGTATTCTCAATGTATATACACTTTTCCTTACTCAATGTACTAATGTCTGTCTTCTAATGCATGATGTAGCCTTCTAACTTAATAGAATACCTGTGTGAATCGTTTAGATTGAAATATTTCTCAGTATCCAAGAGTAGTCATAGTTTATAGTCCAGTAATACTTGATAGATTGTCCTGCTTGCACAGTTTACTATTTGCATTGTCTTGTAAACCATAATACTATCTAGCTGGTTGTATTCTGATCTTCTAACATTCTCAGGTCCTTTCCTGATGTCCTGGTACACATTCCTGTTGTCTGTAAACAGCCTGTATTTCTTAAGAGCATTGTTTCGATTTGTGGCTCTAAGAATTGGTAATAGTATCTCTGAAATGTCTATATATGTGTTGCCTTACACTTGTAGTGTCTTAGAATCCTTGAAACAATGGTTGTATCTGTGTTTCCTAGTCCTTTCCATGTGCCATACATATCTGTAGTCTTGTAGAATCCTTTCTACACTGTATGCCTGTGCTTTCGAGTGTAAAATGTCATTGTATACACTATACAATTGTCTGTGCCTCAATGTACCTGTCTAGTGCCATTTCATACAGTTCTACTTGTTTACTGTACTATTCCTTAGTCCTGTAGTCCTATAGGGTCTCGAATATACTGAATTCACCCTTTCAAATGTGTTGTTCACATGCCTGAACTTGTGTTCATTCTTAAACTACTACTTGAACTATTCTTATACTTGCTACACTCAATATGTGGCTTTGAACTGTATAGTTTGCTGTGCTCTGAATCAATATTGTTCTCACTAATACCACTAGTGTTTGCCTTGCCTGGGACTGCTTTCAATCGTGAAGTATTGCTATAAGATTGTTTGTTCCTTTTATTTTTGTAAGGGATACTCTAATGTCCTGAAAAACTCAATGTTTCCATTTGAGACTGTATATATCTAGGTATTTCACTTTCTCTCTTATTCCTAGACCTGGCTAGGGTGTTGTATCCATTGTAGTACTTCTGTACATTGCTCCTGTGTAATGTGTAGTTGATATCTACTATGTATAAGGTTAAACACTTGATTTTGTAGGTGTATACTTGATTTTCGCCCTCTGGATCAAGTACTGATCCTTGTAGTTCCAATTTGCACTCACTTTTGCTATCCTCAAAGTACTGTTCTGTAAATGCAATGTCTGTTTCGCTTGGATAGTCTGAATTGATTTCACAATTGTATTGAATGCCTGGCAGTTCCAGTTTTCGTTCTGTTCCTTGTGCTTTACATATTCCTTTTGCTTTCTACAAATGTAATTGTTTGTCTGGACTCTTGAGTGTTTCTTCTACACTCTTGTATTGATAGTTCTGATCTCTATTGTCTGTGAGTACTGTAGCATGTCTGGCTTTCGTTCTGTAGCCTGCCTGAAGCATTTCATACTTTTCTGTTACTATACTATTGAGTCTGCTCTTGTTTGATGAAGGAGTTGCTTTCTCCTCTTCCTGATACATTCCATCAAACTTGTACATTCTCTTATTCAAATTGTCAATGTCTATCAAACTGTAGAATGGGCTGACATGTCCTATGTCTATCTTAATTGCTCTGGCTCTTGTAATGTGTCTGAAGGTCTTACTTACCTTCTGGAAGTCTTGTTCCTCATTGATTCTCTGTAGTTTTGATGCCTAGCTCTCCTAGCCTTTGTTACTCTTGTTCTTTGAGTCCTGGCTGCTTTCTTCACTGTCAAAGAGGGTCTTAAGTGTCTCATTGCCCTCTACATCACTGTTGTCAATGTGTTTCTGTTCTGAAGTAAGTGTGCTCACTGGATACTTATCCATACTCTCACTAATACTGACTATATACACTCTGTAACTCTTGTACTAGCTTGCAAATTCCTCAATGCTTGCTGTTAGCTCTCTATATTGACTTGGTGAATCCTCAAACCAAATTGCCTGTCCTCTATCAAGTGAATCCTCAAACTTGGTAGCCTGAAATTAATAGAGTGAATCCTCAAGCTCAATCACCTGTACTCAGTGAGTTGAATCCTCAAACTTGACCTTCTGTACTCAATTGGACAAATCCTCGAATCCAATTGCCTGTTCATCCTGAACTCAACTGTCTGAATCCTCAAGAACAATTGCCTGAGTGTTTCTGCTCTCTGTACCTTTGTTTACTATTTCTTTGAGCCTAGTAGTGTTAATACTTGCTAGTGTCTGCTCTACAGTGTGTGTTTGTCTAACTATATGCACTGGTACAGTTACATGCCTTAGTTCTACATTATTAGTATGTACTAGTTCATCAGGGTGCCTCCAGCCTTGTGTAGACAAGGACTTATCACCTGGTATAGGTTCATTGGGTTGCCTCCAGCCTACAAGGGACAAGGACTTACATCCTAGCATGTTAGTATTGATATCCAGACTTGGGTACCCTCTGGGAATTGTCAGTCAAGGCTCAGCAGCCACATTGTAACCAATATTCAATGGATAATCTTGTTGTCCATTACTTGTAAACTTGATGCACACCTGTTTGTTCCTTTTTACTGTCACAGATGCCTGGTCCTCAACCCATCTGATCAATGCAAACCTCTAGTGTATCCAGCACTGGTCCATATTGATATGTGTTAATGTGTTCCAGAAGCATTCTACAGTGTTCCAAAGCATTGTGAACCTACTAGGGGCCAATCCAGTAAGTAGTCTCTGTTTCTACTCAAAAATTGTAACTTTACTCACGAAAAATTCTTGATGGGTACTAGACAACAAGGGAGACCTAGGGTTGATCAGACCCTTTGGTTCCTCAGCATCCAGCAAGGGGTTTTGGTGCTAGGTGGGTACAGTCAAAAATATGTAAGGAAACTCACTGTTCCTCACAAGAGAATTCTAATTGCCCTTAGTTCACTCAACTACTGACTGGGATAACTTAGTACTTGAGCAAGGGGTCAGGGGAAAAGAATCCCCTTTACCCAGTGGTCAATACTGTCTTTTATAAGGGTATACACGTGTAGATACATGAGGAGGAAGTGTAACTAACTATAATGAGAATATATGCACTTGTGGGTCCTACTGCACAATGATCTGACACAATCAGTAATGTAGTAATAACAAAATACGAACCTGTAAATCAAATCCTTACAGTACTATTCCTATACTCATTTGTACCTAAGCTTGTAGAATGTTTAGGGGTGGATCTTTCAGGTCAAAATATAGTGTGTCTATCAGGTATAGTACTATCTATAAGGTTAGTAACATTATTGTACAATAGAAACAGCTTCTTCCTCTAAGACTTTGTCTTTAGATAGTTCTAGAATAAGAGAAACAATATTAGTGAAGCAACAACTCATAATCACTTTAGAAACCACTCTATTTATACAATCTGTAAACATACCTTAATATATACTTTCTAAACATTAGTAGAGATAGTTACTAACTACTTATTAGAATCCTATTCAAATCCTAATACATTATAGAGCTTCCTTACAGTATAATACTCAGTCTTAAGCTGAGTATAAATATAAAGGCTGTTAACAGTTGATCAAATGAGATAGAAGGATATAAGCAACTTACCCTCTGAAAACAAGTCTTTATATAGACAGCTGTCTTAGCTAGCCTACTAGAATCCTTTTTAGACCTAGCTAGAGTATTAATAACACATACATAGGCTTAAAGTTTCTACCCATTCTCTACTTGCATACTATCTTCTTTTACTCTCTTGAGGACACTGATAAGAGTGGCTTCTTGTTCTGTTAGTCAAAGACAAGTGTTGTTAGACAGTATTTAATAAGTGTAAGAACACTCACTAATTGCAAGTATAGTAAGAGAAGAGGTACAAAGCAGATTTTGCTTGCATTCTGTAAGGAGGAGGGTCAGTATTTGTAGCATTCAGTGTAACAGCACGTGTCTTGAGAGATTACAGGTTCTTGCCTTGAAAAACAGCTTTTGGCTGTTTTTCAATCTTTGCTTGATTTTAGGAGTGTGTCAAAATGTCAAATTGAGATACAAGATTAACATTGTAGGCACTGAACGCTTTGAGAAGCGTGACGTGACACACAATGATCTGATGAGATTATGATCTTCTTTAAATCTTTTTGGCAGGGACTATCTCACAAGATCATGCAGGCTGAACAGGCCCTAAGGCACAATAGTAGTAAGCTGTTGTAGTAGTATTGTAAACATAGGGTGTAAGACAGGTACAGGAATGAGATCATCTCAAGACATGACTATGCCCCAGCCCAGAGAATTATATACTTTCTGACACTGTATCCTGTGCAAGAAAAAGGTGTAAAGTAAGTAGCATGAAGACAGGCGAGAAAAGACCGCATATTACTTAAGACAGCGCATCGCCATATATGGAATATGCGGTGATGGCCGATGTAAAGTTCCCACGGGAGAACTGGATTAGGGCCAACTCATCATCTGCCGTGTCCTTCCTTCCAACCCTCATCTTTAAGGCAGCACCACCATAAGACACGCTGACCACCGCAACTCGTCCCCTGTTGCACTTTCTACTCGTTGTTCGTTCTCTAAGCCATGTCGGAAATTCGTAGGAAGCTCGTCATCGTCGGAGACGGTGCTTGCGGCAAGGTCAGTCCACTTTCCTTATCGTCTTTTGCCGTGTCTTATTCTGACTCGTGCCTCCCGTTCTTCCCCTTCTCCGGCGCCTCCATCCAATCCACTCGCGAACTCACGTGTTTTCTTGATGTGTCATTGTTCGGCTATGTCTTCCCCTGCGTTGCGTTGAAATACTCTTGGAATCTCTCACCACTCGTGCACTCGATTTGGCGTGCGTCCGTTCTCGCGCTGTCGATTGATTGGCTTTGCATGAAAAGACCTGTCTGCTGATTGTCTTCAGGTAAGAGGCATTTTCGCGCATTTGAACATCTATCTGAGTGTTCCGTAGCAAAGGCACATTCCCAGAAATTTACGTGCCTACTGTATTCGAAAACTACGTCGCCGATGTTGATGTAGACGGAAAGCACGTTGAACTGGCTCTCTGGGATACGGCTGGACAGGAAGACTATGACCGTCTCCGCCCCCTTTCCTACCCTGATTCTCACGTCATTCTCATTTGTTTTGCCATCGACTCCCCCGATTCTCTTGACAACGTGCAGGAGAAGGTGCGGTCTGCTCGCTCATGTTCATCCATCATCACGTCATAGCTGACTCGTCAATCTTAGTGGCACTCCGAGGTCACCCACTTCTGCGCAGGCCTTCCGGTTTTGCTTGTTGGTTGCAAGAAGGACCTTAGACGCGACCCGAAGACGATCGAGGAGTTGAGGAAGACATCGCAACGTCCTGTGACGCCCGAGGAGGTATGTATTGATCACCTAATGCTGTGCTCCTTAGTTTGACGGACCTTGCCTGATCCGCGTGTCATCTAGGGTGTTGCGGTCGCACAGAAGATTGGTGCAAAACAGTACCTCGAATGCTCCGCTCGGACAGGCGAAGGAGTTCGCGAAGTCTTCCAATATGCAACTCGCTATGCTCTTCTTGCCAACAAGCGTCCGAAACAGAACAAGTGCATCGTCGTTTGAGATCGGGAACCCTGCATTATCCACCTGCACGCACGCGGGGTTAGATTCCGTTCGGCTCATTTTGCATCCGGTCTTCCGTTTTACCTATCTCGTCTCACGACTCTCCTTCATCATGATCTCTATCATTGTCCAAATACTTTGCGGTTCTAACGGTGTTTGGTAGCAATTTACGTTCGCGGTGCGACGGGGTAATGATTCAAAGTGGAAAGACTTGGGAGGGTATTGGTACTACGGATGAGTCACAGTTTCTTTCCCGTTGAGATGTTTAGATGTGGTGAATTGTTTTACGATTGGGAATGACATAAGAAACTTTGCTCTCTGTGGATAATTAAATTACCAAGTAACCCTTTCTGCCTTTCTTACTATTCAATCCGCGTTTATTGGTGTTGAACTCTTCACTTGGTCCTCATTCTGTCCGACTTCAATTCCGCGTTTCGGTTTCCCCAAGTTTTTAAAGCCTTTTCCTTTTTTTCACGTTTACATGATCTCTCTTATCGTTCTCCGTTGCCCACTTGTCTTTGTAATATTTCCACCTCCAATTGCATACCTTCCTCCTCTGACTCATGTTAGCTTTTCGTGACGCCTTGCGTGCCCCTAAGTGTATGCGTCTCGTCCGTACAGCGTCCCATTTTGGGTGCATCTGCCGTAAGGTGGCTTAAATCTGAAGCAAGGCCTTAGATGCTATCGCTCTAATCGGAATTACATTGCAAGCTCCCGTTTTACCGTTGTTTTACAATGTACATCGATTTGAAATTCGTCCTGGTGTAAAGTCCGATGAAACTAATCGACTCTACCTACAGGAGAGGTACCACTACCTATATCATACAATCTTTTGCCACTATTTACATTCACACATTTTCGGCACCCTTGATATCCCGACTGCAAATCTCGCAAGCTCTAGACATTGCAAATTTAGAACTTTGGATGTGTCATGTGCAGACTCGGAGGGAAGTTAGTTAGTTAATTGTCAACTGTCTTCAGAAGCCATTTGATACCGGATTTCGGGCAGTCGGACCTGCGAGTTGCATGTGAGGCGACGAAGTGGCCGTCTTGGAGGGGTCCTTGGGCGTTTAGGTAGTATTGGACGGAGGAGAGGCTGCCTTTTGAGCAGGTGAACTATGAGGGAAATATTAATGGTTTGCGAGAGATGATGGTGAAGGGATGATTAAATGAACACACGTCAGGAACGTAACCTAGGGAAGAGGTAACTGCGTCTTGGAGTTCTGTGAGAGTGTATGTGTTCTCAGAGGATGGTGTTATCTGTACATGACAAATAGTAAACCAGGGATCGTCCTGCGAACCTGGAGTTTGAATACTGACCCCTGCGCTCGTAAGAGCCCCGTACGTGTCTAGCTGTTGGAAGATCTGGACGACGGTTTCGAAGTAAGGAACGACTTCTTGTGCGGTTGTGTAATCGTCGAAACAGCTTGGCTCTAGAGTGCTTACGCTTTAAATATGATATAAACGTGAGAAATAAACGTATAATTGTTAACGGGAATTTATTTATGCATACCACGTTCCATGCGTAGCCCACTTATTTTTAAAAGAACGATTCAAAAGTCAGCACCTAAAGATAGAGAGATTACTACCGCTCCAGCCTACCTCGTGAGACCAGAAGTCCTCAGGGCTTTCGTCATTGCTCACCCAGTAGGTGTTCATGACGTTAAGGAGTTCGCTCTGTCCCGCGTTCTGTAGTGCTTCTGTGATTTGGGAACCGCTGTATTTACGACTGCTGTCGCAGTTCTCGTAGAATTGGCCGTTGCATTTATCGGGCCTGGGTATAGAATAAGATAAGAAAGTATGGTCGATGTGATATGATGGGGGGATATTTACCAAAGACCGTGAATTCCCCAAGAGTCCGCAACACCGAAATCGAGGTCCCAGAATTGAGCATGTACTAGAACGCCTCCTGGTCTGACAACCTATTATATAAAAGATGAAGGTAACGTTCGTAAAGGAATAAGCGACATACTCACGCAACACGAATCTGTCTCGTCCGCTTTCGTTGAACAGCTGAGAATGGGTGGGTTCGGGCATTCATCGGACTGCTTCAGCCTGGTTCTTGTGTGTACTTCTGAGGTCTTTTCTCCAGCGTGCGGTCGACGGACACCGTCTTCGCCTTCTCCGATATTGGGGAACATGTCTCTAGTGCGCCCGTCCTCGTCTTCGTGATGGTGATGGTGAGAGGAGTGCGTGAAGAGTGCTTGTCCATTGATTACTGGTGTTGTATCCGTCGCGAAGACGTTTGTGGGCATGCTGAGGTTATTGGCATTGACATCTTCAGGCAATGCTTCGGAACGAGAGTTGTTAAGGCCGAGGTTGAGGAGAGGGATGAAGAGCGAAGGGATAAGGTCACCAGTAAGCTTCATCTTGTGGGGAAAATTAACGATTGTGGTTGTGCAGATTACAAGGTGAGCTTTATACGACGACCTTAACTCGTAGAAATAAGGGGAGCCGATATCCCCGCAATTATACTGATCGCACGTTTGGTGGATGCGTCACGCGACAGAGAATAGACGAATTCCAAGTGATGGTGGCGCTAGATACTCTTGAGAGCAAAATCCGGAAAGTGGATCCGAAAAATATGCATGTGTAGGGCGAACGTTCGTGCGCGAACCAGTCCGCAGCAGGGCGCTCTAGCAATGACATGCATAGGAATATCATCAGTTAGTAAAAATAGGAATTCTTTCAATGGAGTTGGTGACGTACGAGAATTCCAATTTTCTCCACGTTGTGAAGGCATTATATTGTGGGGTTCATGGAAGCGCTGTAACAGGGAATATACGGATTCCGGAAGATAGCTTTGTGCTAAGGCAACGAGTTAAATGGTCTATATTAGGCACGTGCTTGCTACCAGATTGAGACCTTGACAACTTGGACAGTGTATGGGTGATGGCCTTAGTCTTCTAGCAGCGGAGACTCGGATCCGATAACTGATGCACGTATGGTGACCCTAGTGGCGGACTAACGGGACACAATCGAGGAGCAACATCGTAAGCACATTGATGGTTTGTTTATATGCGGAACCGACCACAGTTTATCCGAAGTTAAGGTTGGTCAAATTTAATGTCCTTAGGTTATTCGGACTGCAAGAAAGGAAAGAACTGTTATCAGATAAACGCTTGTTTGATCCGATTATTGTAGGCCAAAAGGTAGTGCTTGTGGATAATATTCCCGAATTCGTTGCAAATATTCCAATCAATTAGCAACGCAAGACAGGAAAATGAGATAATTGGCCTATATGCTGCATACGTCAAGGATTATTCAAGCTAATAAAAGCTTTGGGTGAAGGGTAAGGCAAGATTGTAGATTCTCTGATCTATTTAAATGCCCTAGAAATTACCAGTGATTCAATGCAGCCTGTCTGGTCGATGCATAGAATAGTGATTGGTATTGGAGTGGTGCTGCGGCCATTTCCGGTCGGTAGACATTCTCCTAACGATCGCTTGTCAATTCAGAGTTGACGGTGAAAGCATAAGCCTGGGCCTGTCGCTGTTTAGGACACTCGAAAAGACGCGAGGGCACAAGGACTCATTCATGTACTGTGGTCCTTGATGATCGCCCTTATCTTGACAAGTCTGCTATCGCCTGCAATCCCTGCAATAGGGTTGACCTCGCTCCCACAGAGCATGGCAGCCGTGGAATCCAGGTAGGAGTGCTCGGACTTGCCGAGACGGCTGCAGAGAAGCATCACACCTTCTCTGTGGAGGTTTGCAAAAGCTGCTGGTCATGTGCATGACGACCTTCAAGCACTTGATAGAAAATAGACTCTACCAATCAGGTTCTGAAGATCCTCCCAGAAACTGCATACGAGTAGAATAGACGTAAGTGCCTGTGCCAGCCAACAAGTACCTGTTTCCAATGAAATATTCATTGAAGTTTGTGTGTTCATCGACTCTGCTAGGTACGGCCCGAGTCTAGGTCTCCAGGGAAATCGTGTACCGTAGTAATGCAAAAGCGAAGAAGCTGTCGCGTAACTGATCTTAAGATGTCAGCGTGAGATTGACTGACACGTCATTAATATAGACAACCTGGGTAAAGCACATACTAACTTACCCAATATAACTCCTTGATGAAATGCGAAGTCGACTCCACTACTATCTCACTGAAGAAGGATGAGTCTGCTTGCTGTTCAGTGCGAAACGCGAGAGTTCCTCAGTCTCCGTTGTTGAAAACTGCATGATGCCGTAATAAAGATGCACCTTGTTTGGGTATTTCGGCCCGTCAGAAGGAGCATCACTTGGATTAGTTCCAACTCGGACACGTCTTGATCAATTGCACCCACCGCCGTTCTTTATCTCTTTAATTGCTCACTGGATAGCCACATGTTAAACTTCGACGGTTGAAGTCTGCTAAGACCGGTTAATTAGTAGCAGACGTTCAGGAGACCTTGACATGTTCCCATGGCTACTTCAGCTGCACGAATTAGATCGTCTGTGTAACATGTTTGGACAACACGTTCTTGTGCATATATATGCTATATCTCTCACTGAGCGACTTCTGCGCTTGCATGCTTCCCATCTCTTTATCCCCATAGCTATCGTATCCTCCCATAGTCCTCAGGAGTACTTGACTTGTTAGTTTCGAGCAGGTCAGACTCTGAAATATACCAGGATATAATTTAAAATGAGCACTCTGGATTTCACTCCAGAACTTGGTAGTACTGTAAGCTCGAGAAGTTTCACCTGTTTATCAGAACACTAATGTTCTATGTCCTTTAGCTTGGATCCTTGTTCATTGGCGGCATGTTCGTTCTCGACTCGTCTCTGCGTCATTGAAGTTCCATTTATTAAATGAACCTTTCTACAGACTGACAACAGCGTACGAGCTCACAAACTATTTTCTACACGCCATTCTGATACTCGTTCAGGCTTTGGGGTGCTAGCGTGGTCCAGTTGTATTTCTACTTCGATGTGCGCACTGATAAGCTCTCGGTGTCTTCTTTCAATATTGACAATAAAGATGTAGAGACACTCGGGATCCGATGGCTGGTGGATACAGACTTCGGTCATCCTCATCTGGGCGCTAGATACTGTCCATCAAGCCATATTCGTTCATCTGCTGTACACGTCATTAATCACGAACTTCACGAATCTTTTGCTTATCGCCCACTTCGACGAGTAAGTTTTGCGAGATTGTTTCAATCGGAGTAAACGAAATTCATATTATATCAAACAGAGAAGGGGCATCTTTGATCATCGTTACGGCCTTTATCAATCTTTTTGTACAACTAATATTCATGATGCGTATTTGGCACTGTGAGTTTCATCCTCTTAACTTTTGTATAGTTACTGAAGATAAATTGTAGTGAGCAAACGAAATTATTTACTTACTGGGATCTCTGCGATTTTCATCATCGCCCACTTTGCCTCGACTGCAGTGTACTTCGCTGTATCTTACCATTTCTCGAGTCTCACGCAGTTTTCAACTGTGTTCAACGTCGAACGTGTCATGAATTCCATTGGATTCCTCACCGATACAACAATAGCAGGGATCTTAGCCTACCTGCTGTATTCAAGCAGAACAGGATTTCCGAGAACGAATTCAACGATCGGGTTTCTGACTATGTATTTCATCAGTACCGGCTTCCTGATGGACCTCTGCTCTCTCACGGCGTTAATAACTAGTGCGCTGCTTCCTGATACTTTTGTATTTTTAACAGTTTTGATCATATATCCGAAACGTAAGTAACGAAATGCGTCCAATCTACATAGTTGCTGATTTCATGTATCGTTAGTGTACACGAACTCTGTCTTTGCATTGTTAGCATTTCTTCATCTAAGTTATGTGGTGCGGCATAATGAAGTGTACCACTGCAGATTAAATACGCGCCATCGACGACGGCGGAATATTTCATATGGTACCGATGGAATGATGTTCCGTGAAAGCGTGTGGTTACAAAGTGCGAACAACCATACCCATTCTCGCAATGTAAGTATCGATTCTTTATCCCTTTGCAATGCTTATTCACTGTTCGGTTCCTGTGACAATTTAATCCAGGACTCTAACTTGGAGTTCACTGCGATTGAAATCAAAGTTGATGCAGAGACAGTGGTTCGACGCGAAACGTCTGAAACTACTGCGGTGAGTGTGTCCTTCTATGCACGCGCAACGACATTGGGATTTATCCATACCTTTGATTTAGTCTAATCGTGCCTCAGCTTCACATGACTGAATGCCGTAATTTATACACATGGTGAATGTAACAGGTAGATATGGATTTAGCTCTGCACAATGATGGATCGATTGTGCAGATGAATCGGTTTATTGCGATGCGGTTGTATACAACTAGTCAAGAAGCGAGCGCTATATAGATCATAGGAAAATAGTACTTAGGGCCTGAGTTGAAAGGGATATGACAATACGACACTGGAATGCCCGTCATTTTGCAGCGTGGGACTCGAAGAAGACTGAAGATGGATGTCTACTCATCTCCAATCTTCGGTGCGAGGTAATAGTTAATATAGCCTGGTCCAAACTCGTATGACACCTAAAGGTGTATTAAACGAAAGTTGTCACGAGATATCAACACTGAAAACGTACGAGGAGTGGCACATCATTTGACATCATAAGTTTCACTGTTCCGGCTAGGGCCACGCTCTTGGAAAAGTTCACAAGATACTTGAGCGAGAACGTAAGAGATACGTGCTGCGACATGTCGATTGCGACCCCTGCCACGCCGCCATCTTCATCCGTGTTCTTCTTCGGCCTTTTCGCCTTTCCCGTCGCCTTTGTCGACAAAGCTTCAGCAAGAACTGCAGGAATTCTACTACCCACATACCTTCTGAGACTTCTTACGCTTCCGCGATCCTTCCTCCTCTTCGTCGGATTCACCTCCCTTCTCTTCCTCACCCTCACCCTCACCTTCATCCTCGTCATCGGATTGTGCTTTGAATTCACCTCCGTCACCCTCCTCTACATCCTCCATGTCTGCGTCATCAGTACCTGGCTCCTTCTTGACTTTCGTACCATTAGCCTTAGTCGGCTTCTTTTTCGAACTTCCTTCTTCCTGGTCATCCTCATCATCGTCCTCAATCTTCGGTTTCTTTTCCTTTTCCATGTTGGCATACTTGCGTCGCGCAGCGTCTGTCTGCTTCAGAAGTACGGATCCGTTGGCGGCTTCTCCGTCGGCAGCAAATCGGATACCTTCTTTACTGACCTCTATCCTTACGGACTCACCAAGCTGCGCGAGATCACGAACGATGCGGGAAAACTCGGAGGAAGGCATGGTGACACACGCGTCGTATTCGGTATCCGGGATGGTAAGGCTGTCGGCATCGATGTCCATGAGCTTCATGTCATACTCCGCAATCCGATCGCTGTTTCTTCCTTCGTACGTAAGATTCAGTACGTCCGCATCATCGGAGGCCTTGAGCGTGCAGACATCGTCGTCCTTTGCGCACTTGAGCACTTTTGTGAGAGATCCAAGGTTGACACCCAGCGGCATCGGTCTGTCGCAACGGTACTTGACGAAACCATCCGCCTTCAGGGAAACGGCGACGAGTGCGACATGCGAGTTGTCCATTGCCTGGAGTTTGAGACCTTCTTCGTTGCACTCAAAATTCGCGTCTGTCACAAGCTCCTTTATAGCTGTCAGACGTGGTCAGTGGGTGAAGACGCGTCGGAAGCAGCACGAAGCACCTACAATCGAGGAGTTTCTTGAGCAGGACTGCATCGGAGAGCTTGGCTTCAAGCATGTTGACGATTAGAAAGACAAGATGCGGTAGGGATACGCTGGTGGTGGTGGAAGTGTTGGGAAGAAGAGAAAGGGCTGAGAGCGAAGAGAGACGCGTCGACGCGACGAGCACGAGACGACAGAACAATCGCGTATGTAAGCAGAATTACTAATCATCAAACTAATTTATGATCAAGTCGATATACATTTTACAGCCGTTTGCAAATATAATGAGACTTTTTGATTTTGAGCGAAGTGAAGAAAAGTAAGAAATCACATGATTTTTTGAACTTAGTGAGGAAAATAGCAAGCACAAGACAGAGTGAATGAGACACATTGTACTAGTGTCTGTACATACAGTGTAAGGATTTGCTCATGAGCATTCATTTACTCTGGAGGCTTGTATTTTATTATCTATCTATCACTGATTTTATTAGTGATCACACAGTTGGACCTATAGGTATACATATTCTCTTTTCAGTTAGCTAGTATTTACTCCTTATGTATCTACATGTGTATCCCCTTATTAAAGACAGTCTCTAGTGCTAGGTAAAGGGGATTCTTTTCCCCTGACCCCTTACTTGAGTACTAGGTTATTCTAGTCAGTAGTTAAGTGAACTAAAGGCAATTAGAATTCTCTTGTAAGGAATAGTAAGTTTCCTTACATATTTTTGACTACTCTCACCTATAGTTGCTGAAGTCTGGTCCTGGTCTGGTCTGGGTGTACTTCACCTGGACTCAGGACTGGACCAAAACTACAGTCCGGGAGTGTCCCAGACTGTGGACCAGACCTATGTGGACGGTTACTAGACTGGACCCAAGTTCCAGTCCAGTTTCAGACTGTTTATGACTGGACTTGAGAGAACAATTTGAGATGTATTAGTACATTATTCTTTGTATCTAAGTACATAAGTAATGTAACTAATTATGAAGCCTCTTGTAATAAGTCTTTAAGATCTCTATGGATTGAAATGTGTCCAGTATTAAAGACCACTCTCAACATGTATAATGCCCCCCCCCCCTCTCTTATTTACAGGCAACACATATATATGTGTGTTTATATATTTAAAGGATGTTAATCCAGAGGAAATATTTAAATGTATGCTTGAGCCTGATCCAGCTTTGTGTATCAAATGTACTCGTTTGCCACCAGTTATTACAACTTCTGGCTCTGAATACATTATACAAACAAAGATCACAATGTACAAAATCCTTACAATTGTCCAGAACAGGCATAGCTTCTCTGTTAAAGGTTTGCAAGTTTGTAATACTGCTCCTAACACTAGAGAAACATTAGACAAGAAGGAAATCAAAGTTGTAATTAAAGAGACTGAAAAGTGAAATTAATGTTAGTATATGTACTACAAATAATTCTGTACTACAAACAATTACACAAATTATTCAAGTCTAGAGTCCAGTCTGAGTCTGGACTAGTCCATTAGTCTGGGAAATTTCTCAATTTGATGAACACAGGACTGGACCCCCTTTGGACCTATAAGGACTAGACTGTAGAGGACTAGTTCTTAGGTCTAGTCTTATATCTAGACTGAGTCTACTAGGTTCAGGACTAAACATTAGTAACTATACTCTTACCTAGTATTAATGTTATAGTTTACTACTCTCACACTCTCAGTTCTGCTAATTCTATACTCTTTCATACTAGAACTTAGGACTTCTGTCTCTTGAGTGTATAGTATATGAATTATATATAGGTTAACCCTTACAGTAACTCTTACTACTACTCCTCTCTACCTTATTACTCCTTTCCTTTGTCTACCCCTTTATTCTTTGTTTACTTATTTTTAACCTTTTTATTCTTCATTCTTTGTAGCTTATCATTCTCTGAGTACTCTTGTGTAGTTTAGTATATATATATATATATAAGATTAGACTAGTTTTATAGTCTTAATCTTATCTACTCTAGATAGTCTTATACTCTTAAACTTATTCTATATACTCTGTACTTGTCTTACTCTCTCTCTCTGTCTGTTCTACAAGTTCTAACTATGTTCTAGTACTTACATTCTGTATTTCTGTTATATAAGATAGTTATAGTCTAGGTCCTCTTACTAAGCCTTTAGGTCCCCTTTAAACTGTTACTAACATTAGATTAAGACTATCTATTACTACCCTACAACTGTTCTATGTTTTAAACATTAGTACTTACTATTATACTAATCTCTTCTCTTTGTTCTAACCCTTTTACATTTTTAAATTTTAAGCTTTCTAAACCCTTTTAAACTTTTACTACTCTTCTTATATTTATTACCCCTTTTAGTCTAGTGTCAATTCCTTTATAGTATAGACATAGACTCTTCTAAGCTGACTACTGTCCCTACTATCCTACCAGATTAGTAGTTGTAAGTAGATCTAGCTTAATATATACAGATCTTTATTTAAGAGGCTTTTACTAACTATGTACCTTTAGTCTTACTAGAACCTGTTCTAATCATTCTAGAAGTTACAACCTGTTTTAGAAAGAAAGTACATATAGTTTACCTTTTAGACTTTAATAAGTAGTACTTTAAGGACATTTAGTACTAAATTAAGTTATATATAACTACTACTTTAACTAATCTATTCTCAGATCTTAATTGTGTCCTATTTGTCCTCTTCTTTATGAAAGAAGGTAACACAGCCACCTAGGCTCAGAACTGGATCAAAGGTTATCAGATTAGAAGTCTGATCTAACTTTAAAACAATAAATTGTACTCAGAATTTATAAAACAGTTTTGAGCTTCCTTTATTAATTTAAACAAAAAGTGTAATATATAGAACAAGCTTGTGTCTTTATAATAGGGTAAATATTCTACTAATACCTTCTTTCAGGAGTTTAATATCCTGGCCTAAAAGGTAGGATTTGTACTCAAGTTTAATAATATTCTTATTAAAATACTTAAAAAAGCTCTTTACTTAAAACTAGTTAATAAGATTCTTAGAGTAATACTAGAACTAATATTATAAGATAATTAGTTTATTAACAGACAAACCACAAGATGATGACTTTATAATGTCTTAGTTAGAATACATACAATATAAGGACAAGAGACACTGAGTAGTCAGTTATTACCTTACCCCTTATTTATACATACCCCCCTTAAGTTTTCCCTCTCAATAGGTTATAAGTCTTAAGCTCCTTGTATACACACATTCACTGTACACTCTAAACTCTTTACTTGTATACATTTGTACACATTTGCATTATAGTTTCCTCACATACAGATACACACTGTAAACTAGCTAATATACTCAAATACTTTAGTCAAAACATTATAATACTTAAGACTGAAGTAAACTATAAGATGTGACATTACTGTATTATTTTTAGTATTACAGCTATGTACTTCAAACACTTACTAAAGGATGAACCACAGAACAAAGCTGAGAGGAAGATAGTTAAGACTATTTATACATGTATAGTTAATAACATTACTAACACAATATTAGTAAACTATATACACTTTGTGTTAGTAACAGTATAGAGGGGACCTGAAGGCTTAGTGAGGGGACTCAGGCTACAACTATTCTACACAACAGAAATACAGAATGTAAGTACTAGAACATAGTTAGAACTTGTAGAACAGACAGACAGAGAGAGTGAGACAAGAGTAGAGTATATAGAGTGAGTCTAAGAGTACAGGACTACCTAGAGTAAATAAGATTAAAACTATAGAACTAGTCTGATCTTGTATACCTATATATACTAAACTATACAAGAGTACTTAGAGAGTATGAGCTACTAAGAATGATAAGCTATAAAGAATGAAAGAAAGGGAAGGTTAAAGATAAAGGTACAAAGAATGAAGGGATAGACAAAGAGTAAGAGACTATAGAATGAACAAAGAATGAAGGGGTGGTTAAAGGAATAGAATAATAAAGTAAGGAAGGGTAGTAGTAAGAGTTAGTACACATATAGTTTATAGACAGTACTCTTAAAGGATAAAAGTCCTGAGTTCTGGTACAGAAGAGTGTAGAACCCTTAGAACTAAAGGTACAAGAGTAGAGAACTGTAACATTACCCTCTCTCTAAAACCAATTGTCCTAATTAGTAAACATTGGACTTAGTCAGTAGTTTGAGTATAGGTTAGAATGGTAGGGTTTAGAACTCTGTAAGGTAGAGTTAATATAGAGCACCCAAATAAAGTTGATAGAAATCTTAGATTGTCTTAGTAGTATGAGTAAGATTCTTAGTAGGTTTCTAAGTGTGTTCTTCAACTGAGTATCCTTTCTAGTAGATAAGGAACTTGAGCTTCCTATACACTAGCTTAGTATCTACTATATACTCTACTTTGTATTCTAGTTCAGAACTGATGAGTTCTAGTAGAGACAGTAGAAGTCTTTGTTACAAAGGAAAACTAGAATTATAGTACTAAGATAGTAGAACCTTGTTAAACACTAAGTGTATGTACTTTTATGTTACTAGAAGTTAGAGTTTGTAGACAGAGGTACTAACCTTCTTTTTAATAACAAAGAGTCTAAAGTACTTGTTGTCCAACTTCTTTATTAGACAATCTGTAGTCAGGTTAGTAGCTTCTAGTATAACTTTGTCCCTAGACTAGTAATCCTTAGCTATAGATCTCTTCTGATTATAGTTCTACTTTATTACCTGTACTACCTTCTCTAAAAGAGTTCATGTGTCTTCCCTAGTCTTGTACATCTGTTCTACAAAGTCTGTTACAGATTCAGAACTGTTGTTCTAGTTTAGAACTGTCCTCTAGTACAAATGTCTCTAATAATTAAGGAAGAACAGGGATTGTCCTATTATAGAGTATTACTAGTTATTATACACAAATTCTGTCAGAGCTAACTATTTAGACTAATCTAATTACTAATGATTAATAAACATTTAGAGGTAAAGCTTGATCTCCTGATTAACTTACTCAGTTTAACTGTTAGTCTGTAAGTAATATACAGTAGAAGGGTTCCCTTAAATTCTAAGAAGTGTATACAAGTCTTACATGAATTTTGACTTGAATTACAGTCTACAATTGTGAATAAGCTTTTAAGGGAGTCTGTACAACT